TCAGCCAGCATCTGCCCCTCACCAGGCCAGACAGAGGGATCTGATCATTCCTCCATCCCTGCCCCTTGGTACAGCCATAATTGCTCCTGCCTTCCCTTGCCTTCCCCAGCACTCCCCCAAACCTGCCCTCCTCTCCTCTTTAGGGCTTTACCCACCCTCACCTCAGCCAACACCGTTTCCACTTCTAAAACTCTTCTACTTGGCCAACAAGGATTTGTTGAGCACATACTATGTGTTGAGCACTAAGACATGGCAGCCGGCACATCAAAACCGCCTGCCTCATGGGGCTTACACTCTAGTGGTGGCGACAGACAATGGAACAGTGAATTATATAGTGTATTAGAAGGCAGTATGTGCCCAGGAACAAAGCAAAATGGAGCTGGGGGAGTAGGGAGAAGAGGGTACAATTTAAGCCATGCAGACATCTGCAGAAACAGCATCCAGGTATTCCAGTACCAGCTGCCGTTGTGTTGACTCCAACTCATGGTGACCCCATGCGTGTCAGTGTAGAACTGTGCTCTACAGGATTTGCAATGGTTGGTTTTTTTTGGAAGTGGGTTGCCAGACCTTTCTCCCAAGTCTGTGTTAGTCTGGAAGCTCTGCTGAAACCTGTTTAACATCATAGCAACATGCAAGCCTCCACTGACAGATGGGTGGTAGCTGCACATGAGGTACATTGGCTGGGAATCGAACCTCGTCTCCAATATGAAAGGTTAGAATTCTACCACTGAATCACCAAAGCCTAATCATCAGGGGATAGAGGGTATTTAATGCCATGATCCTGGATGAGGGTTTGGAGGAGACATCCAGGGATGAGCTAGGAAACAGGAAGACAACTTGCAAAGGAGCAGCCAGGGAGGTAGGAAAACCCAGGAGGGTGTAGCATCCTGGAAGCCAAGCAAAGAGAAGCGTTTGTTTCAGGGAGGAGAGAGGGGCTGGTTGTCGCTTACAAGAAAGATGGTGAGCACTGAGTGTCCACTGAGTGTGGCCATGCGGAAGCCATTTGTGACATCACCAAGGACAGTTCTGGTGAAAGGAGGCAGAACCTCCATTGGAGGAGGAAAGGGGCTGGAGGTGGCAAGTGTGGGTCAGTACTCCAGGGAGCTCTGCTATACAGGGGAGTAGGGAAACAGAGTGGTAGCCCGAGGCAGGTAAGGGCTCCAGAGCAGGATTTTTAAGATAGGAGAAAGAACCGTATATTTGTATGCTGATGGGGACGATCTGGTAACGAGGGGAAAATTGGTGAAGCAATATTTACACTCAATTGTGTTTCTCTCTAGATGGTCAGAGCATGGGTGATTTTTGTTTTCTTCTCTGAGCTTTTCCTTGTTTTCTAAATTATCTAGCATGAATATTTATTAATTTTGTAATCAGAAAAAAGCCATTAAAATCCACAGAGCTGATTGCTCAAGTGAAGCTTCGCCACGGTGACTCATCCCAAGGGTGGGGGGAAAACAAACTGAAGGGCTGTAAAGAACGGGGAGGTGAAGAAAAATTAAATGCAAATAGTGCTCACTTGGAATCAGATAATTTCTTGCCTGGCCCACTGCAATTTCCTCGCTGCCCTTCTGCTGTCAGTCTCTGCGTGGCCCTGTCCCCACCTCCACACTGTCACGATGCGCATGCCAGCCATCAGAGGAACTTTCCTTAAATACAAATCTGATCATGTCAAAACTCCCCGACAGCCCCCTGCGTTCTCAGGGTAAAACCTTAGCCCCTTCACAGGGCAGAAGATGCCTTCTGTGATCTGATGGGGCCTTGGTGAGTCCCTCCTGGCCTGCTGCACCTAATTACGGCCTTCTCCAACGAGCTAGCAGCAAGCAGCAAGCAGACGGACGTACAGGGCCTCTTGTATCCGCTCCCATAGCAACCTGCCCGCTCTGCATCCAGCCCCCGGCCTCGCCATTGTCATCTTGGATTTGCTCCACCGCTCCCCCACCCCCACATCACTCCAACCGCCCTGGATACAGACCCTGTACTACTGGGCCAGGTTTACTGTCTTTGTGTTTCCAGCACCTGGCCCAGTCCCTAAGTGGGCTCTGGTGGTGCAGTGGTTAAATGCTCAGCTGTTCAAAACCACAGCGGCTCTGTGGGAAAAAGATGTGACAGTCTGCTTCCTTAAAGATTTACAGCCTTGGAAACCCTATGGGGCCATTCTACTCTGTCCTATAGGGTTGCTCTGTCCTATATGAGTCGGAGTTGACTCAAGAGCAACGGGTTGTTGTTTTGTTGGCCCAATCTCTAGCATACAGTAGGTGTCTCTGTATCTGTTGGTGGGAGTAAGGAATGTCATGTTTCTCAGGTCCCCCTCTGGTCACAGTGAGGGAGCCCTTCCCTTCCTCAAAAATCTCCCCTGCCTCTGACCAACGTGAAAACCGGCCTCAAGGTTTGTCATGCTCAGCCTGGTGCAAGGGACAAACATCTCCTCTCCTCCTTCCTTTGCTTCTCGTATCCATTAATTCAGTGAACATTTTTAAGCCCTGAACAAGTGACAGGTCAGCCACCTGTCAGTTTGTCATACTGCGGTGCTTTGCACGTTACTATAATGCTGGATGCTATGTCACTGGTATTTCAAATACCACGCAGGGTCCCTCATGGTGGACAGGTTTCAGCGAAGCCTCCACACTAAAACAGATTAGGAAGAAAGGCCTGGAGATCAGCTTCCAAAAATTAGCCAATGAAAACCCTATGGATCACAACAGAACATTGTCTGATATGCTGGAAGGTGAGCTCCCTAGGTTGGAAGGCACTCAAAATACACAGTGGACTCCAGCACACCAACGATCATGAAGACAGCCGGCTCAGGCCTGGGCAGTGTTTCATCCTGCTGTTCGTGGGATCACCACAAGTCAGAGCCAGCTCTATGGCAACCAGCAACAAGCGGCAGGTCCTAGAGTAGGTGCTGGGGTCTAAAGATGTGTCAGGGGCATAATCCTGACCTTGAGGAGCTAAGTGAGGGGCTCAGGAGGCAAAGACCACGTATTCCCAAGCCTCTCTCTGGACCCCCATCCTGAACCTGCCAGCAGATGAATCCATTCTGCAGACGTGTGTTAAGGGCCCACCATGCAGGAGACGCTGTGCCAAGTACTGGTGCTAGGAAGTCTCAGAAATCAGGTACGTGCACCCGTAACTACAGTGTCAGCCTGGATGCCAGCTCCCGGCTCCCTCTGTCAGTGCCTCTGAGCCTTCCTGCTCCTGGATGCCTTTCCCATCCTCCCAACAAATCAACTCAACAAAGCAGCCTCCCGGGCCAGGTTCCCACTAAGCCAAAATCTGATCTCAAATATGACAACGTGCGCTTGGTGCTCGATCCCACGCAGACAGAGCGAATGGTTGGTGAAAATCCTACCCGGCTGCTTTGAGCTGAGAGTCCAGGGCATTTGACCGAGGGAGGGAGGGCAAGGCCGCAGTGGAGGGGAGAGGGGAGTGGCAAGGAGGACAGACTGAGGAGAACGACGACCACCAGCTCCAGAGGAGCCAAGGGGAAGGCTCGGGGCGGGGGGTGACTTGGGGGCTGTTCCTGAGGTGCAGAAACCAACAGAAAATGTCCTAGAGACCTATTGTATCTCTTTGCCAAATGCTGTGCTTTCCCAAGATGGGGCCAAAGTAGGGAAGTGCCAACTTCAAAATATAGGCCTGAGCAACAAATGAGAACGAAGTCCTGTGGCTTTTGATGTGGTGGTCTGTCTTGTCTGTGGGAGTTTCCCCATTTGTGTGTGTGGGGATTGAGTTAGAGAAACACCCCCGCCCCTCACGCCGCGCGGGAACCAGATGTGCCTGACGAGGGGGGGTGGTGCTGGCCTGGGAAAGGAAAGGAAGCCATCTAATGCGTTGATCCCCTTGGCATGTGGTGTCAAGTGTACACGCTCTGAGGCCTCTGTGTTCCCACACTCGGGGCCCTGGAGGAGATTAGCTCCTGCACAACATGTTTGGGAGCGAATCTATGCGGATACAACTCCATAGGTACACAGCTGTCAACGGCGTCCGCAGAGGGGCACGGGACCCGGGGAGGGCGGCCCCAGCCAGGGAGGGGGCCCAATGCCCACTATAGGGAGGAGCTGTGCAGCCAGCACCTTCCACAGGCTCTGGGCATGTCCTCGGAGACAGAACAGTTGAGATAGATCATAAAGATGCTCAGGAAAGAGGAGTAAGGTGAGGGCTTCCAGGATGAGGGCTCCTTGCACCCTACTCAAGGGGGCTCTGTAGCCACTTGTCCCCAGGCCAGTCCTGGGGGGTTACCACTCTTGGGAACAGAAAGCCTTGGGATGGAGGTGGGGGCAGGAACCCACACCAGGGCTCACACCAGGCTCCGTTCACTCTCCCAGCTCCTCTGGGGGGAATGCTGCCTGGCACTGTGGGGCAGAGGCACAAGGGGGGACAGGAGGCAGCAGTCAGGAAAGCACAGGAAGCTACCGAGAGCTGCGTTCCCCACGGCGCCCACCGGGAAACCAAAACGAACCCACTGCCGTCTAGTTGATTCCAACTCATAGCTACCCCATAGGACAGAGTAGAACTGCCCCATAGGGTTTCCAAGGCTGTAAATCTTTATGGAAGCAGACTGCCACATCTTTCTCCCACGGAGCAGCTGGTGGGTTTGAACTGCCAACCTTTTGGTTAGCAGCCAAGTGCTTAACCACTGTGCCACCAGGGCTCCTTTGTGCCAGGAAAAGGCCTGAGCTATTATTTATTCCTTCCTCTCTCCCGTTTCTCCTCAACTCCTCCTTTGTTGTTTAGTTACAAATGACTCCGTTTAAGAGGACCTGTCCATAGCGATCCTGCATCACCATAATGAGTGCTTTTCTTGTGAGTTCTGCCCTGTGTCTGAGGTTCTCTGAGGAGCATGGGGCTCAGTTCCTCCCACGGCCTGCTCACACAGACGCAGACGAAGCTCCAGGACAGGGACGTCCACCCCACCAGCCCTGGGAGTTTCCTCCGTGTTGGGCCCAAACCAGAAAGGAATGTGAGGGGGAGGGGCCAGCCCCAGCACCAGGAGGACCTACCTGGATGTCTTTGATCATGATGCTGTAATCAAGACCATGAGAGTCCAGATATGACTTGATGTTTTTCAGTTCAGAGAAAGGAACTCTCATGTCCACAGGGAGGCTGGGCCTGGCCGGGCCGCGCCAGAAGTCCACCTTGGTCACAAAGAAAGAAAACGGGTGTGTTTACTGCACGTCCTCACCACAATCCCGGAGGCCCCCTGAGAGCCACATGGTCCCCTTCTCTTATCCAGTTAGAGGGCCCAGCTCCGTATGGAAACCCTAAGGCAGAGCAGAAAGATCGGGCCCAAAAAACAATCCCCAAGTCACTGAGTTTCTTTCCCTACTTTCAAGGGCCTTTGTCTTCCAGCCTTGCTTACACACTGCAACTTCCCTAGGATCCAGAGAACCCTGAGCACTTCCTAAAGGTGGGCCTGCGCATCCCCTAGGACATGAGAATGGGCAAGATCCCTGGTCAGAGAGGGAGATTCCATTGTCCCCAGCCCCTGAAAGAGGAGAAGCCTGATCTAGGTCCCCATGTCATCTTAATGCTACACCTATTTTTGAATTTGCAAAGTGGAGAGAATTGTTATAAAGGATGACAAGTCCTTGTAGAGAGGAACATTTGTACAAGCAGAGGGGAGGGCTTTGGGCCCTGTCCAGAAATCTCTGGTCATTTCAACAGCCCTCAAACAAAACTCTTCTATTATAAGAGTTGAAGGAAATGTTTCCCGTTGTGAAAACTTGGAGAAGACAATGTCCTCGGTGGAAACAAGTGTTCAGGCTGACAGAGACAAACCCAAATAAAACACCCGTTTGCCAGCAAGCGAGTGCAACTGGGAAATAGATGTGTCCAATCTGCATGCACCATGGCTTCCCACCCCAGACACATGCACCTCCCATGTGGCTTGGGGAAATTCCAGCCATTGACAGCATGGCCTCCAGGACAGAGGGAAAAGCAGAGGGACCAAAGCCTGACCGCCGCCCGGGCTTCTGGGCTGCTGTTCCCAAACTTTTCCTGAGGAGGGGCCCCATGAGATCTTTCCACGGGGCAGTAAGTAATCTTTGGCAGGACATTAGGAGGGCAGGTTTGGGGTGGAGGGACCAGGTCTGGGGTGGGGGGAGTAGGTTTGAGGTGCGGGTGGGAGGGCATGTCCCCAGGCCTTGGGGCTCCTCACCTTCTGGGGCTTCATGCCCTCCAGGTTCCTCAGAAGTGAAAGCTGCTCCTCATCTTTGGCCAGGACTCGAAGGACCTGGTCTCTGGAAAGACACAGGGAGCTCAGAGGAAGCTGCTGAGGAAGGAATTTCTGGAAGGCTGTGTCGCTTGGGAAAGGCAGAGTGGAGAAGAACCTAGGCTGAGGGAACCCTGTAGCCAGGAGGCCAAAGGAGCCCTGATTGGGAAGGACTGGCATCTGGAAAGTACACAAGTCCTTCAGTCTGGGGCCAGTGTCTCCCCAGCCCCAATGCCAGACCACTGAGGGGCTAAGCAAAGCCTGTCAATGCTACTGACAAGCCCAATGCCAAGACAGGGAAGGAAGGGTGGGAGATGAACGTGGGGGAGCAAAAGGAATGAAGAGGAGAGAGGAGTAGGCCCTGGAGGAGTCCGGGGACCAACGGTGATGGCTGTGCTCTTCACACAGGTCTCTGAGCCCATGGTCTGTCCAAACCCCATGGCCCCTTCTGCCTTCTCCCAAGAGCTTGAGGACATTGAAGGGAAGATGAGGTGCCCTCACCCCACCGTATGAGGAAAGCTGAGCTCCTTCATGCCCAGTGGGCGTACCTTGAGCCCTGGGGTCAGAAGTCGAGACTACTGGATCAGCGACCTCAGGTGCTGACCCCCTCTCTTAGCCCTGTCTTGTCTTCTCTACTATGGAGACTCTACCTCTTGGGAGCCTTTGGAGCCTGAGAAATCAGCACCTGGTTTTTGTTATTTGAAGGAAAAAAATGCCACACCCATTTGTGGTACCTAGTCTTTGAGGGAGGGGAGTTACCAACTTCTTTAAGAATCTGAGGACCCTTTCCCCAGAAAAAAAAATACATGCACACAAAATTTTCCACGTGATTTCAAGGGATTCCTGGAGCCCAGGAAGCTTCCCCAAGGACCCCAGAACAGAGGGAGAAGAAAACAGCGGAGCCTCAGTGTGGGAGATTGTGGAGTCAGGGATGGGCTAAGGATGGGCACTGAAGTTCTGACTCCCTCTGCCTCGACCAGGTCACAGCAGAACCACTAGCTCCCCGTGAAACCCACCAGTCTCTCCTCCCGCAGCGAGGCAGCCACTCACCCTGTGAAATTCATTTGGCCTAAAGCTGCTGCCAGGATACAGCTGCAGACCAGGAGCATCCGCCTGTCCACAGGGGGCCGCCCGGGGCCCATCCCTCCTCTGTGGGTGCCCCGAGTACTTCCTGCTCCAGAGCGTCACAGGCCCTCTGCAGGTGAAGGCATGGCCCAAGCTTCAGGACAGTGCAGCACCTAAAGGCCGGCAGCCCGGCCTAAGAGGGGGCATTAGGGTCTTTTTGGGGGCCAGGGACTAACCCACACACAAGGACATTGGGAGAGCTAGGGCCACCCCTCCCCACCTCTAGGCAAATCTCTTGGAAAGGGGAGAGGAAGGAGGAGGAGAGGAAGACAAGGCCCTTTGCTTCTCTTTCCTCCTGAAAGTTTGCTGGGCCACCTCCTGAGAACATTGAGCCCTCTGTCTCCAGAGAAAGGCGGGAGTTGCCAGGGTCCTAGGGAAACGCTCTTGGCCCCTCTCCCCTATCACGTCTTGCCTTTGGCTTTCCTTCTCCCTCCCAGTCCACTCACACTTTCTCTGGGCCATATCTTCCTTACACATAAGGGTGTGGATGCCATTGAGAGACAGAAAACTGGGGTGCTCACCTCCTGTCTACAAGATCTGGGGTAATTCCCCTAATCTCTCTAAATCTTAGTTTACTCATCAGTAAATTGGGGTTAATAATACCTCCCCTCCCTACCTCACAGGGGCTTGGGGGGTATTAGATGAGACAACTTGGGTGAATGGGCTTGGCAAATTGTACAAGCCCGCAAATGGAATATATTATTATTTCCAAGGCATTAACTCTTAGTCACAGCTGCGTTTTAGGTCAGGGTGCCAATTGCAATGAGGAGAAAAGAATGGAGAGGGGAGCAAAGGAAGAGAAATATCTATATTGTATGAGAAGGAATTCAGCACAGATTCCCTTTTCTCTCTCTAGCTTCAGGTGGTCGCCATTATCCTGGGGTAGGAAGCGTGTTTTCTGCTAGATTTAAAGGTCACTGCCGTCATTATTATAGTTCTTAGTGGCTTCAATAGACCAGAGTCAATTTCTCAGTCCTGCTGCAGCCCCACACAGCCCCTTTATGGTCTGGGAACAGAAGGAACGAAGCCGAGGCCAGCACACAAAGCACTCATATTGGCGGGGTAAAGTGAAAGACGATGCCTGAATGGTAGATGATGAATCTAACAGAAGGTCCACAGGAGGTGGGGGAAAGGCAAAGACAAAATCCAGCAAAGTCCTGGTTCAGCAGAGGACGTCAACAAAAGGCCACTTAACTGTCACCAGCGTTTCTCAGAAGCCCCTCTCCCCATCCGTATTTTCCCAGAAAGGCCAATTAACTGGCCGTGAGTGCAGAGCGGGGAGCTCTTCTATTGAGAGAGTGCCCTTCTCCACACCGCACCGGCCCTACTCCATTATTTTATGGTTCAGCTCTCAGGCATGCCAAATTCTTCTAGAACCCTGGCTTTGGGGACTCTCAGGCAGTAACATTAGCAAAGGGTTTAAGGATCTAGAAAAGAAAAGAAAGCGATTGTGCTTTCCACCCAAGTAACATTCAGCTTTAGTGGCAATGGGAATCGAAGAATGTACTGGTAAACAAGAGCTCAGCAGTTTAAAAGAAAAAAAGTGGGGATGGTGCTAGTCACCCAAAGTGCCCAGCATCTTCTTGTTCACAAGCAACTTTTATGTCACTAAGAATGAGAAAACTATCCCTGTACTTGGTTTAGGAGTGGGAAGAGAGAGGGAGAGAATGAGCAAGAGCAAGGTGGGAGCAAAAGAGAGAAGAAGAACGCTTAGGAATTCTTGAGAATTCTATGGCAGCACTTCCAATAGAACTTTCTGTGATAATGGAAACGTTCTGTCCACATTGCTCAATAGGGCAGCCATTAGCCACTTGAGATGTGGCTAATGTGACTGAAAAATTGAATTTTTACTTTTGTTTAATTCTAATTAAGTTAAATAACTTAAATAGCCACATGTGGCTAATGGCTACTGGACTGGACAGCAGAGTTCTATGGGAATCCACTAACCCCAAAAGCACTGTTTCCAGTGACTAAATTTGAAGCAGAAACACACAGCTGTCTTTGACCGAATATTTGATAACTGGCTTCTCACTCAAAAGTATTCATCTAATCATTTACTCAATAAATATTTATTGAATACCTACTGTGTGTCAAGCACTGCAGTAAGGTCTGGGAATGAAATAATGAGCATAACAGACCTGGCCCTTACACTTCTAATGGGGTAAGTAGACAATTTAAAGAGCATACAAATAGGTGTGAAAATGTAGCTGGTGTATGTGCTACAGGGAAGGCACATTGTACCACGAGAATATGTGTAGACTATACGCCGTAGACTAAAGGGACATGGAGGGCTTCCCTAAAGAAATTGTGTTGGAGGACTTTGATTTCCTATGGGTGGATGAATTAGATACCTAAACAATCCTGTCTAAATGAAACAATTAAAATGCTGGATAAAATATCTTAGTAACTTTTTAAATGTGTCACTGGGTTGGTGTGAAAGTAAGAATCCACGGAGCCCAAAGAGAAATAAAAGCAAAATACCTGAGAGGTAAGCAAAAATTTTCCCCCTAGGGATTTCTCTGAACCCTAGAGTTCTTGAGCTTCTTCCTAGAAGGTTGTGAAGGGCCAGGGAACAAGAAGTAAAGCCTAGAGCTCATCCAACGAGGAGAATTTCATGGGAGACTCCTGCATAAAGATGAAATCCTAATGGAATACACCCTCAGTGTTAAGTCAACAAGGAAATAAAGCCATGTGCAGAAGGAAACAGGAAGGAATCTTACCTATTTCAATCTTGGTGTTAGGTGATGCAGGGAAAAATATCTCCTGAGAATTCATAACCACAAGTAAGTCCCCACATGAGTTTGTGGTCTAAATTAACACTATCTGTAAAGTAAAAAAAAAAAGAAAGAAAAAGAAAAAGATCTCAAATGGATAATTTAATTTAGGGCGGTCTCAGGTTAGTAGTGTTCTCAAGGTAACGCGCAGAAGTAAATACTAATTCTCTCTGGAGGAATTCAACTCCAGGCTCAAAGGATTTCCACAGATAAAGTTCCAAGGAAAATGATTGGCTTACAGTCAAATGGCACAAGGAAACACTGCATAATGAGAACCAGCAGAAACAATAAGTAGCAGAAATAGACTTACAAAGTCTTCAGGTATTGTAATTATCTGACATGGAGTATAAACTAATATGTTTTACAAGTTTAAAGAAACAAGCAAGAAGTTCTAGAGTAGGTAAGAAATTCAAGTCATTTTAGGCTTGAAAAAGAATCAAATAGAACTAAAAATGAAAGATGAATACCATATTTTGTTGACTATACAACACCATTGATTATAAGATGCTCCATAATTTTATGTACCATCAAAAACACTGCCGATTATGATTGCAAGATGCCTCTGGTTGTAAGATGCACCCTCATTTCAGATGTATTAACTGTGGAAAAAAAAATTGTCTCAGAATCAGTGAACTGTAGAAATTGAAATTTAAAACTTATCAGATCAATTAAATAGCAGGTTAAACTAATCTAATAAGAGTCCATTAACTGCAATAAAGAAACAAATAATTGATACAAAGGAATTATCCCTATTGTAGCCTTGAGAGACGATGAAATGGAAAATATAACAGAATGGGTAAGAGTCTTGGAAGATAGAATGAGAAGGTCTAACATATACCTAATTAAAGCTTCAGAAGAAGAAAATAGAATGGAAAAGAGGCAATATTTAAAAACATAATGACTGAAAAATTTTGAAAATAGTGGAAAGAGAGCAATCCCCAGACACAGGAATTCAAATGAATCTCAAGTAGAATAAACTGAAAGATATCTCTACTTAGACACGTTTTGGTGTACCTAAAGAGCACGTGATGATAAAACTGAAGAAATCAAAAGTAAGAGGACTTCCAAGCAACCAGGGATAAAAAGAGATCACCTACTAAAGAATAGTAAATAGACTAACTGATTACCTTTTAACAGCAGAAATGGAAGCCAGAAGACTGTAGGATAATGTTTTCAATGCGCTGAGAGAAAAATAATAATCAACCTAGAATTTTATGCCCGCTAAAACTCTCGTTTAAGAATAAGAGCAAAATAAAGAATTTTCAAACAAACAAAAGCACAGACCTTCGCTAAAGGAGAAATTTTAAAGATATACTTCATGCAGAAGGCAAATGATACCAGAGACAAGATACAAGAAGAAATGATGAAAATATATAGGTAAACTTAAAGAAATATTGACTCTATACAACAAAAATAATATGATGTCTACTCGGGGAGACAGGCTAAATTTTAAATTCTGGACAATACAGTATATTATTTGTTGTTGTTGTTAGGTGCCGCCAAGTCAGTTCTGACCCATAGAAACCCTACGTACAACAGAACGAAACTGCCCGGTTGTGCGCCATCCTCACAATCATTGTTATGCTTGAGTCCACTGTTGCAGCCATTGTGTCAATCCATCTCATTGAAGGTCTTCCTCATTTTCATTGACCCTCTACTTTACCAAGCATGATGTCCTTCTCCAGGGACCGATCTCTCCTGATAACATGTCCACAGTATGTGAGACAAGTCTCACCATCCTCACTTCTAAGGAGCATTCTGGCTGTACTTCTTCCGGGACAGTTTTGTTCGCTCTCTTAGCAGTCCATGGTATATTCCATATTCTTCGCCAACACCATAATTCGAAGGCTTCATTTCTTCTTTTGTCTTTCTTATTCATTGTCCAGCTTTCCCATGTATATGAGGCGATCGAAAACACCATGGCTTGGGTCAGGTGCACCTTGGTTTTTAAAGTGACATCTTTGCTTTCTAACACTTTAAAGAAGTGGGTAATTAGAGTTCATGCGTGTGTCAGAGTAGAACTGTGCTCCATAGGGTTTTCAGTGGCTGATTTTTTGAAAGCACTTTCCCAGGCCTTTCTTCCAAGGTGCCACTGGTGGACTAGAATTTCCAAGCTTTCAGTTAGCCAGGCGTGTTCACCGTTTGTACCACCCAGACTCCGTGTGTGATATACTTCACAATAAAACATATTTTAAAGAAAATACGGGGAAGCTAAATTCTTATTTTTCATGGTGGAAAATCTATAGAAAATACTTAAAACTGAAAAATCAAGAAGCAGCAATAGAAGCACCTTATCTAGTTTTATGGGGGTGAACGCCAAAGCTAAGAGAATCCAAGGTGGTTGCTGCAGAGAGCAAGGTATGCAAAGAAGGAGGGCTCTTTGTTGCTTTTTATAACAAGTCTCGTAGAATTCTTTGATTCTTTAAACAATGCACGGTACAATTGGTTAAAAATAAAAGATAAGTTTAAAAAGTGGCATTTGAGCTAGGTAGGTGAGATGTGTGGGAACTCACTGGCCGAAGCAGGTGGGGAAATTGCAGGAAAGCTGATCCTTGCCCTGAGCCCCTTCCTCATTAACGGTATTAAGTCCCCATTCTGGTTGGGGACCACCTGGAGAGTCTCCAGAGATTGCATGAGGCCTTCCAAAGAAAACTTTCGCAAAGAAAATTCCCAAATTAATCACGCTTCCTCTCCCCACTACCCCAACAAGGCCCCTTCAGGTGTTTCATGAAAATAAATATATCAAATGCAATCTTAAAAAACAGAAGAGCAAAAGAGACATCATTCACATTACAGAAGGATTCTTTGGTTAACAAGATGATTTACCACACGGTTTCTTAAAATAGCCAGCTCCCTAGTACACTCAAAATGTGGTTTAATTAGCAAAAAAAAAAAAAAAGAAGAAGAAGCAGCTTATCCCACTTTCTAGAAATATGCCAAACAGCTGCTTTCAGAGGAAACTGAGTATTGAAAATCCAAGAAAGCAATGACCCACCAAAAGGTGGGTTAATGCTGCTCTAGACTTGGGGTGCTAGACCCACTCCATCCTTTAAAATCCCACACAGGGAGCAGTAGCTAACTGACCCCATCTCTCCACCTAGCTCCTTACATCTTGTGCCTCTCTCTATCATCACACATCCATAGATTCTAATTCTTTACAGGACACTGTCTAGCACCCAACAAACTCCTTGCAGGCAGGGGCTGGGTCCTAATCATCAATGCGACTCCAGGACTCTGCACAGGGCCCAGGCCACTGCCCAGCACCAATTGGTTTGTTGTTGTTTGTAATTACATGTTATTGAGATGTAACTTACTTAACATAAATTCTACCATTCTAGAGTGGACACTTCAGTGGCTTTTAGCATATTCTCGATGTTGTACAATTAGCCACCAAAACCAAACCTGCTGCCGTCGAGTCAATTCTGACTCATACCAACCTTCCAGGACAGAGTGGAACTGCCCCATAGTGTTTCCAAGGAGCAGCTGGGGGATTTTAACTGTTGACCTTTTGTTAGCAGCCAAGCTCTTAGCCACTGTGCCACCAGGGCTCCTGTACAACCATCACCACTAATTCCACAATTTTCCATCACCCTCTAAAAAAAAAAACCCATGCTTATTAGCAGTCACTCCCTATTTCCCCTCCTGCCTTCCCTAGTAACCGCTACTCTACTTGCTGTCTCTATGCATTTCCCTAGTTCAGATCAATGGAATCATGCAATATGTGGCCTTTTGTGCCTGCCTTTTTCACTTAGCGTAATGTTTTCAAGGTTCATCCATAGGACCTTTGCTGAACAAACAAATGCATTAATCCTCTAAGCTTAGAGGAACAAACCCTCGAATCCTAGCAGTGGCATTGCTGAGGCAGTGTGGGAGATGCGGACCATACCTGGTGACCCTGTCAGAGGGGGTGGCACCAAAATGACTGT